TATTATTGGTTTAAAAATAAACAAATATGTCAATGTGACCTTGGCTTGGGCAAAGATTTTTTACAATACTGAAAATATGATCCATAAAGTTGATAAATTGAACTTTATTAAATTTAAAACACCTGCTCTATGAAAGACACTACTAAGAGAATAAAAGGACAAGATAAAAAGTAAAAGAAATAATTTTCAATAACATACCTGGAAAATAATTTGCATCTGGAATATATGAAAAATAATCAAAATTCAATGCCACAATTAAAAATGAGCAATATATTTGAATACATGTTTCATATTTGGGGGGGGGTACTAGGGATTAAACTCAGGGGCACTCAACCACCGAGCCACATCCCTAGCCCTACTTTGTATTTTATTTAGAGACAGGGTCTCACTGAACTGCTTAGTGCCTCGTTTTTGCTGAGGCTGCCTTTGAACTCAGTATCCTCCTGCTTCAGCCTTCTGAGCCTCAGGGATTACAGGGGTGCACCACCATGCCCAGCTACATGTTTCATATTATTTGGCCCTTTGCTGTTCAGTACAGTAGCCATTAAGTATATTATTTACATAAGGATATTGAGCTCCTAAAATGTGAAATCCAAATTAAGATATACCATGAGTGTAAAATACACACCACATTTTGAATGCTTAACATAAAAAGAAAGTAAAATAGCTCATTAAAATGTTTGCTTTGATTACATGTAGAATTGGTAATGTTTGGGTTATGTGCAGTTAAATAATATAATCTATCATTTTGCATTTCAAGAATGGTATATGAGGGCTGGGATTGTGGCTCAGAGGAAGAACGCTTGCCTAGTATGTGAAAAGCACTGGGTTTGATTCTCAGCACCATATAAAAATAAATAAAGATATTGTGTCCACTTACAACTAAAAAATAAATGTTTTGGGGGAAAAAAAGAATGGTATATGAATGGACTCATATGTGTGTGATCTTTGAGACTGACTTCTTTCATTCAGCATAATGCTTTTGAGATTCATCCAAGTTTTTGTTTGTATCAGTAATTCGTTTCTTTTGTGGAGTTTGTTTAACATTCCCCTGTGGTAAGACATTTTGGGTGATTCCAGTTTGGGGCTATTACAGATAATGCTGCTTTGAACAATCATGTACAGAATTTGCATATGGCTTCATTTCTCTGGGATAAATGCCCAGCAGTGTGAGTCCTGGGAAGTAAGGTAGGTGTATGTTTAGTTTTTAAATTAATGGCCAAACTATTTTTCAACCGTGGTTGTGCTATTTTTACATTCCCACATCAGAGGGAGAGGTCCATTTTGCAGTGCTATTTAGGAATGCAGTGCTATTTAGTTACGCAATGCTATTTAGGTGTGCAGTGCTATTTCATCATGATCTTAATGGCTAGGGATGGCGAAGCCTTTCCATGTTTTTATTTGGTGTATGTATAGCTTTTTCAAAGAAATGCCTTTTCATAACTTTTGCTAATTTTCTAACTGGAATTTTTTGAATATGTAGACTTTTGAGATTTCTTGTATTCTAGATATGAGTACTTGTCAGATAGGAGATTAGCAAATATTTTCTCCCAACCTGTACCTTGTTTTCTTGTCCTTTTAAGGGATCTTTCACAGAACAAGAGTCTTTAATTTTGAAGTCTAGTTTGTCAATTTGTAGATTGTACTTTTGGGATTGTGATATATTAGAACCCTTTGCCTACCTGAAGTTTGTGAAGATTTTCTTTTATGTTGTCTTCTATCAGGTATATAGTTTTTTTGTGTTTAGGTCTATTTTCCATTTTTAGTTAATTTTTGTGTATGGTGTGAGATTGGGGTCTTACTTTATGCTCTTGCAGCACTATTTTTAGAAAATACTATCTTTTCCTCATTCTGATTTCTTAATCAGCTCTTGGATTTTTAAATTTTCATTTCTTCAGCTTATGTTTGATCTGCTCACCTTTTTCTATTTTTTTTTACATGTGGAGTTGGTCGTTAATTTGATAAGTTACTTCTTTGCTAACATAGTTATTCAGTGATCTACATTTCCCTGGGTTCTACCCTTGAAGCACCTCACAACATCTGATATTTTGTGTTTTCAAAAACCTTAAAATGCTTTCTGGAATGCTTTCTGGTCAGGGGCAGGCGCCAGCTCGTAAGAGGAGATGACTCAAGTTCAGGAGTTCAAAGAGAGAAATATCTTAAAATTCAGCCTTGAAGTTCAAAGCAGGCAGAGATGATAGTTCTAAAGGCCCAACTTTTGATTTGCAAGAAATGGGATTTTTGAGTTTCTCTCTACCAATCAAGTACAAGGTGACTATTGCCACAAACAATAGATTTAAGAAATGCAATAGTGGTGTGTACAAAATTCTGGGATCTAGGCCCTACCTCTTACTTAGTTCCTTGAGAGGAAACAAGTTCCTACGAAGTTCTCTTTTCTCCAGACCTTTAGGAGAATTTTCATCATCTACATGGGGATGTCACAGCAGCTTCAGATTCCTGAAGTTCCCTGAAGGGACTTGAGAGCAGTTGAAAGAGAGTGTCTTCTGAAAGTGCCTGAGAGGGATGGCAGAACTTAAAGGGCCCATGTAGATTCTCATAGATGCCTAGTCAAGGTCCACAGATTCCATTTCATCAGGAATAGAAGCCAAGTACCACGCTTCAGTAACACCTTGGACATGAGTAATGAGAAGAGCACGAAGAAACAAACCTAGACAGCTACCGTTATGGTTTGGATATGAAGTCCTCTAAAGATTCACGTATTGAAGGCTTGGTCCCCAGTACAGAAATGTTCAGAGGTGGGGCTTTTGGGAAGAAATTGGATCATGAAGATTCTGATCTATTAGTGGACTGATAGCTGGATGGACTACTAGGAAGTAGTAAAAACTATAGGCATGTGGGACTTGGTTGGAGGAAGTAGGTCACTGGGGACTACATCATGTCCCTGGTCCCCAACCCCCATCCCCAGTTCCTGGATATTGTGAGCTGAACAGCTTTCCTCTGCCATGATCCCTCAGCCTTGAAGCCTGGCCACCATGGACCAAAACCTCTGAAACTGTAAGCTAAGCCAAAGTAAATATTTCCTCCTTTAGGTTGTTTATATCAGGTGTTTTGGTTATGGTGACAAAGAACAGACTAACACAGTCACCTCCTTCCTATCAGGACTGTAACAAGAAACTATGAATGAATACACTGGAAGGAAAAGCCCTGAATTAACTGAACTTAAATCTGAGATAACTGAGAATAATACCCTGATGTGACTGGGTTTATTCAAATGATGAAGTCTCTATCTTCCATTTGGTAGAATGTGGGATTGTGATAAAAATTATTTTAAAATATATACTGTATTAAAATATTTTATATGTTTTAAAAAGTTATGGCCGGGCACAGTGGAGCACACCTGAAATCCCCGCAACTCAAGAGGATTGCAAATTTGTGGCCAGCCTCAGCTACTTGTTGAGGCCCTAAGCAAATTAGTGAAGCATTCTCAAAAAAAAAAAAAAAAAGGCAGGGGGCTGGAGATGTTGTTCAGTGGTAAAGTGCTTCTGAGTTCAGTTCCCAATACAAAAAAAAAAGTTTGTGCCCTTGAGTTTGTGACCTGAATATTTGTATAAACTGTAAAAACTTCTTTGGACTATGATAGATATATTTTAAAAAATAAACAATTCATAGACTGAAATTTTGAAAAATGTGTGTGCTTTCTGCATTCACTAATATAGCAGCTCTTGATGAAAAATGACTATCTTTTTTTTCCCTCTTTAAACTCTGAAGTTAGTTCTTTGAAAAAATGCAAAATTAATATAGAATGCTATATTAATGTGAAATAATTACTGGTTTTGTACTTCTTTCTGATAATGTCCTTCCCTGGCTTTTTTCAATAATATCTTCTTCTTGCTCCCAAGTTTTGCGCTTGATTGTATGGTTAGTCTGATTTAAAATGTTTTGCCTTATTTCTCAACATTTGCATATATAAACTGAACTTGATAATACTGTACATAACTGTCTGAAATGCCAGAATGTCTAGAGACTCTTCCAAGCTTTTCACAAAATATGTTTTGTCTGTGAATACCATTTATCTAGTAACACTGGCTAATAGATGACAAAAAATTCTCATTTGTTTTCACATTAAATTTGATCTAAATGAGTTTGCACCTTTTTTTACTTGTTTTTATTAACACTTATTGACATATTAAATGTCACTCTGAGTTTACCTTTAAAAAAGAAAACCATTTTCCTCTATGAACTATCTAGTAGTTTTTGTCCCCACCCCCACCCCACATTTTACTTTCTCTGGATGCCTCCTGTATGATTTGAGTCTTCTATAGTTAAGAGTTTATGTATTTTTAGCCAAGCATGGTGGTGCGTGCCTATTATCCCAGTTGCTCAGGAGGCTGAAGCAGAAGAATCTTGAATTCAAAGGCAGTCTCAGCAAAAAGTGAGGGGTTAAGCAGCTCAGTGAGACCCTCTCTAAATAAAATATAAAATAGGGCTGGGGATGTGGCTTAGTGGTTGAGTGCCCCTGAGTTCAACCCCCAGTACCCCCCAAAAATATTTTATTTATTTTTTAGTAGTAAGTAAATAAGCAAATGAGAATTTTCCAAATAATATCTTCCTCCTAAATCCCAGGACCCCATTCATCATAGTCTGCCAAACCTTAATTTCTTCCCAAGTTCTGTCGGTCTATGGAAGAATCATTAAGTAAACCACAGAGAAAGGAGAAAATGCTTCAAAGCAGGCCAGAGACAGACAGGACATAAGGAGATGGGATCATTATAATCAGGGAATTTAGAGTCTGACTTTTCTGCCTTCCCTCCTAGGAATATATTAGAACCACAAAACCACTAACTTTGGCTGTAAGATTATGCTAGAAGGATTCTGGAGGAGGCTAGTCACAGTCCAGCCAGCAAGAGAAGTTAGCATATTAGAGTAAAAGGAAAGTCAGACTTTAGGTCAAAATATCTAAGTTCATGTCTTGACTCTCTCCATAGCTCTGTAAATACAAACAAACAACAACAACAACAACAACAACAAAAACCCCTCAGTTCTAAGCCTCATATTTCCTGTTTGGAAAATGTATGAGTTGAAGACAAATTTTATTTCAGCACTAAAATTCCATTTCTAGTCTTGAGGTATTCACAAATCACAATGGAAATTTTATTAGACATGTCAAATATATCCACAGCCTCTCTCTCTGTTCCCCTTCAAATCTCTACCTTCAACTGATGACCAGCAGTCAGAAGCCTCACTGTCAAAAGTTTCCTGAGACCCAGGAATAGGAATGCCTTCTCAGGAAAAATAGATAAGTGATTGCAGCAGTGTTGGTAGTAATAATGCTAAACACCAAACTGAAACGAGAAGCGAAGTGGCTCCACTTTCAGTCTTTCGGGATTGATAGACAGACTGATGAGGACACACTTCCTTCACTGCCATGGGTCCGATTGATGAGATTCTGGCCATCAGCCTGCAACCAATTATACTTGTACAGCCTTTGACCTCCACAGATGATTCCATCCTTCCTATGGAACAAAGGATGGGGAGACAGGAATATTTTAGGAAAGCAGAGGAGAAGCCAATCCTCCCTCATCTTTGAAATTCTGAGTGCCAGCCCCTCTCAGGATCTACTCAGATGTCTGGTTTTCCAGCTTCTGACACCATCAGATGTTCATTTCACTTTACCTCCACTGAGCTCAACTTTTCCTTGATAGCATCGATTTGTACCATTGGGACAAGGCAGAGAAGGAGCACTTAAACAGGTCCCCACAGCTACACAGGTTGGGCAATGGAGGGTTGCTGTCATACTGGCGGTCTCTGGAGCGGGAAGAGAAGAAGAGTTAAGGGACATATCCCACCCACCTCTGAAGGATTCTCTCCTTGCTGCCTTCCTTTCCCAAAGCCTTTCCTGACTATGCCACTCTAATCAAGCCCATTACTAAAGCCTCCCCATCCTTCCCCAGCTGATTTTGTGTCAGAACCCCATCCACATTACTTCCAAACTTTGTGCTTAGGTTTAAAGATAGATGAGAAGGATACAATTCTAGCATCATTGTTTATAGGGAGAGAGACATGTAATTAACTGCAACTCAGTAGGTATTATGTTCAAGGTATAATGGCAAAGGAATGGAGGAAGACCTAACTACCTAAAAAATTAGGTAAATATTTTCAAAGGGCTGAAACTTGATTTAAGAGGAAGAATGAACAGAGGTTAGCTATGTAAAAATGGAGTTTTGGTGGAGGTAACAAAAAAGACAGCAAGGACAAAGTTCAAGAGATGTGAACCAGCTTGGTGGACTTGAAAAACTGAGAAACTTCAGGGATAATACTCAGTAGGTAGGCATAAGTACAGCTGAACTGTTTTTTTTTTTCTTTTTAATGGCCAGTACCACCTCCATTGTTGAGGACTGAATATTAGCCCCAAATAGAACACAGTAAATGAAAGAGGGAAATGAAGTGAAAAGATAGACAGGGTCAGATTATTATAAGCTTTGAGGTTGAATTGGGGAATTGGGCTGTCATCATGCAGCAATGAGGAACTAAAATTGTTAGACTGACAATAAACACCACCACCCTACTCAAAAAAAGCAACAGACATCTTGTTGCTTCATAAATATAAATTCAGTTTACACTCCAGCCTTCACCGATGTCCTAGAGCTCTACTCTGAGCATTGCTTAGACCCATAAAGGTAACTGTTTAGAGAAAATTAATTTGACTGGGAGGTACTTTTGTGCATGTACCACTTGGTCAAGTAAGAACACAAAGAGGAAAAAATATATAATCTCACCTACTTCCGGGGCATCTAATGTCTTTTGTGTTTTCGAAAAATCAACCATGCTTTGTCGGCTGTTGCAAAGTGGATCCTCACAGTAGTTACTATAGGATACTGCAGTCAAACCAGGAGATGGAGCGTGCTGGACGAATGTCATTGCCTCCATCAATTGCGCGAAGCAGCCCTTAGTGGCCAAAACGGCTGTCTTGTCCCCTGATGAGAGAGGAGGAAAGAAAAATGGATGGCAGGCCTCATGCCTCACCTGGGGAAGGGGAAACAGCAGTGATATGGGCAAAATAACCCTCTCTCCCACCCAACCAACTGCTCCACTCTCTTTTTACCTGCTGTAATCATTAATACACTTTCCTGGCAAAGTTCTCCATTGTCACAAGTCTCAACTTTCTCTGTGGTCCAGTTAAATGTTTGGGCTGGATCATCTTCTATATTCACATACACACCCTTGTGACAATATAAATGTTGGGCCACTGGAAAGAAAATGAGATGAAGATAATCCTTGCCCTTCTCTCCCTTCTCAAAGTGACTCCCTTTTCACCATAAATCCATCCTCTGTGACCCAGGGGCCCTTCTCCCCATCCCACATACTTACAGGTCAAGGAGGAGACTCCTAGGAGAAAGAGGAACAGGAAATCCTGGAAATGGTAGGCTTGCATGGCTTCTTTTAGAGAGGTTAGGAAGAACTGATCAAGATCTGTGATTTGATGTAGAAAAGGTAATGTCTAGGTTTTTGGCAAATACTGCTTTAGGGTAGATTTATGGTATACAAGATTATGACCTCTGAAGTCAGTCTGTCCCTAACTTGTGAGTTTAAGAAAGATGAAAAGTTTATTATGCCTAATTTCCGTGACTGTAATTCCCAGACCCAGCCACCTATTCCCTATAACTAAGAAATCTGGCAACTCAATACCATTAAACTACTGGATCTAGGAGTCTGGGCTCCAAAACTCCTTTTCCCTCAGACTCAAGAGTCAAGTTTAAATCAGTATTTTCTCAAGGACTTAATATGCCAGCCTTCAGCCCCTAACTCCATCAGAACCCAGGATTCTCAGACACCAGCCCTACCTTACCTGGGGATCCAGGAATTAGGGTTGCAGTGGTTCATTCCCTCAAGATCCAAGATTCAGAGCCCCCAGCATCCTCCCTCAGATGGAGGAGTCTGAGCTAATAACCCCGCCCCCTCAGACCTAAAAATCCAACCCCCAGCCCTCCTCCCTCAGGCCCAGCCCTCCTCCCTCAGGCCCAGCCCTCCTCCCTCAGGCCCAGGGGCCAGCCTAGCCCTCCTCCC